GCTCCGAAGCTTCAGGGATCCGCCATTCTCACCTGGGGGCAGTCCTCGGTCTGTGCACTGGGGCTTTCTCCCCACCGTGGGTTCAGGACCCTGTCTTGCTGATGTGACCACAGAGAGGGAGCAGCCCCCACCCCGGGACCTGGCCCCTAGCTTTCTGGGCTGTCCCCTCCACTTGCCTTCTCTGAGATTAGCTTCTTTGTAGTCAGGAGCTGGTAACATTGCCCTTGGGCTGACCAAAGATTCAGACATCTTGATTTATCCTGAATAAGACCTGGTTCTGGGCAGGTTTTGTGCTGGCTTGGGTCTCAGGAGTGGGCTTGAAGACGCTACTTACTTCCCATGGGACACTGGACAAGGAGGCCACTCCCCTGCAACCTACTGGTCCGGTCTGTTAGCTCTGTTTCTTTAAACAAAGGGCTTAGGTGTGAAAGCCATCTCACATTTTCACATTTCCTTGCAGAGCTTTGGTGTCTCGCATCTTCTCTTTTTTTTAATGGAATTGTTTTTCCTAATTTCAGTTTGTTTATTGCTGATACATAGAAATACAATTGAATTTTTTTTTTAAGTAATCTCTATGTCCAATGTGGGGCTTGAATTCAGAACCCCAAGATCAAGAGTCACATTCTCTTGGAACTGAGCCAGCCAAGTGCCTCCTCTGGTTTCTTCTGGAGAATTGCTGTGACCCTTCCCCCACTGTGCCCCCCCCCCCCCCCACACCCCGGGCCCATGTTTCCATCTAGGCTACAGCTGGCGTCTTCTTTCGATCCTGCCCCTCTACTTCAGATAAAGCAGGATGCCCGTGTGGCCAACTCCCCCCACCTCCCAGGGTCCCCAACATTTCTGGGCTGGACACCATCTCTGCAGCGGTTCACTTCCCCCGCTGATGACCTCAGGGGTCAGAGGCCTCCTGCAGTTCTAAAACACAGAGTCCTTAGTCTCCAAGTGGCAGCTCTAAGTAAATAGGGAGGTTTGCTGGCCCATACTATGCCTCTGACACAGCTAGATAATTGCTGGGCGCTCAGCAGGCTCAGGGGACCCAGAGTTGTTTCCCCAATGCCCCTCACACTTCTCCCTTGGGTGGGGGTGGAGGGCTGCAGTGGCCAAGCTGGGACTGCAAGATGTAGGTTCTTCCCTGGGGAAGGGGTCCCTGGCTCTGTCTTCTCTGGATCTGTGTGGCCCTGCTGTAAAGTGGCCCTGGAGATTCAGATTTCCACCTTGCCCAGCAGGTGCATCTCTGGCCTAGGAGCATACTTGCACCTCCTGTTTGCTGGATGAGAGTGGGGATCTGCACACAGGTGGCTATCTCCTGGGGACAGGCAGCCTCCCAGCTGCCACCTCCCAGGAGACTGAACCCCCATGGCTCAGAACTTCCTGTCTCCTTGTCCTCTTCCAGGATGGCTGTCTGGTCAGAGCACACCTGAGGCCGGACTTGGCTGGGAGCACCGGAGGGTCGCTAGTCTCCCCGAATTGTCTTTTGCCCCTAGTTTTTTGTTTTTGTTTTTTAATATAT